ACATGAGACAGATTCCCTGAGTTATTTTTAAGTGACTTTATGATCTCAGTGACTTCCGTGGGCTCAGTTGGTGCAAGATAGAAGGAATTTGGGAAATTCCCATCTAGGTAGTCCCTGGCATGGGCATTGGTACGTGGGATTTTATTGGTGAGATTAGATACTGTGGTTGAGAAGAAGTCATTTATCTTGTTAGCTGTGTCAGTGGGATGTAGTGGTGTTTCATTAGGTTTAGTTAGGACAATATTCTTGTTTTTTTTCAGTTTGTGGGTCCCTAGAATCTGAGACAGTGTTTTCCAGGTCTTTTTTATATCTCCTCTTGTGTCAGTGAATCTACTGTAGTAGTATAGTTGTTTGGCTTTCTTTATTACTTTGGTGAGGACTGATGAATAGTGTTTAAGAATATCTTTGTGTATTAAGCCCTGTCTATATTGCTTTTCATATTGGTGTTTCTTATCAGTGGATTTCAGAATGGTGCTGGTTAGCCATGGGCAACCAAGCCGTTTGCATGTGATGTTTCGTTTTTATAGGACAATGTTTGTTGTATAGTCTAAGTAATTTGTTAAGTAAAATGTCTGTCCAGTCATCAATACCATTGGCCTTGGAGAATTCTGTAGGCCAGTCAACAGTCTCTAGGTCAGCTGTGAACTTCCTTATTGAGGACTCGTAATGACACGATTGCAAACAAACCATACCCCCGGCCGGGATTGAACCCACGGTCATAGTCTCAAAACTCCAGCCCGTCGCGTTATCCACTAGACCAGCTAGCCACAATAAGATTCATCCAACTAGGTATATTTCTACACCATAGGAAGGTTAGCACAGGCACCTCTGTGACCACAAATGCAAGTTTTTACAGACGAATCTCCAGCTAGCGTGGCCGTGACGAACTCTAGCTCAAGTCCCTTCACTGCCGTCAACATGACTCAAGAAATCGTAATGACACGATTGCAAACAAACCATACCCCCTGCCGGGATTGAACCCGCAACGGGCTGGAGTTTTGAGACACTATGACCGCGGGTTCAATCCCGGCCGGGGGTATGGTTTGTTTGCAATCGTGTCATTACGATTTCTTGAGTCATGTTGACGGCAGTGAAGGGACTAGAGCTAGATTTTGTCACAGCCACGCTAGCTGGAGATTCGTCTGTAAAAACTTGCATTTGTGGTCACAGAGGTGCCTGTGCTAACCTTCCTATGGTGTAGAAATATACCTAGTTGGATGAATCTTATTGTGGCTAGCTGGTCTAGTGGCTAACGCGACGGGCTGGAGTTTTGAGACTCTATGACCGCGGGTTCAATCCCGGCCGGGGGTATGGTTCCTTATTGAGGCCTCATCATGGAGTCTAAATGAGACTTTGTTGTATTCAAGTGATGGTTTACTAATGTTTGTCAAGAGGAAGGTAGGGTAGTGGTCAGTAGTGCTATCTGTGATCCCTGATTTAAGGGGGGGCTAGTATATTGGTCCATATGTGGTCTATTATGGTTGCACTTGTCTCATTGAGCCTGGTTGGTTTAGTTATTGTTGTTATGAGAAGTGTGTTGTTCATATTGTTGATGAAATCAGTTACAGGCTGATCATCTAGTAGGCCAAGGTTGATGTTGAAGTTTCCAGCTAAGAGGAGGTGGTGCTTATTCATTTGTCTGTTTGTTATTTTGTGCCTTTAATTTCTCACTGAAATTTTGGGGTGTTTGTGTGGGGTATCCGGTAAATGGCACGTTGTTTAGGCGTATTTAAAGGTTTTTTTTACCAGTAAAATTAGCAAAAATGTATTCCCCATATTCGTCACTAAAAACAAGTGGTGCTAATACAAGATAATTGGTTAGAGTAATAGATTGCAATAACCCCCCCCAACTTGGTAGGTCTGCAGTTGTGGATTGCTGTGTATCCTGGTAGAGGGTAGATATCTATTGTGTCCTGCTTAAGCCAGGTCTCAGTAAGAATAAAGCAGGAGAAGGGTGTCTTTAGTGATTCAAGGAGTGCCAGGAGGTCATCATAGTGTTTGCTTAAGGACCTGATGTTGTAGCTAAGTACTGATAGACTTTTAGCATTGTTTAGGATAGTGCTAGCTTGTGATGCTGTGTAGTAAAGGCAGTTACTTTCCAATAGGTTTTGATTGGGTGTCAGATTATGGAGGTTTAGATCAAGGTCAACATGATCAATCATCTTCTAGGTTTAAATTATGGTTATTTATATCCTGAGTTGTGTGTTGAGTTTTAGTACTGATACTGTAGTGGTGGGAAGTTTGGACAAGTATATAGCTATAGCATTTTGGGCATGTTTGAGTATAGTCACTAATACACATAATGAAGTTGGTGTTTTTCTATGTGTTGTGCTGGAATGAGCTAAAGTACAACTAGGTATAAAACAATAATATAAAAATACCAATTAAAAATAGCACAAGACTTTCACTTGTAATTGCACTAAGGTCTAATGTAATGCTTTGGTTGTTATATATAGCTAGAATGAGCTATAGTACAACTAGGTTTAATCTAATAATATAAAAATACAAATTAAAAATAGCACCAGACTCTCACTAGTAATTACACTATGGTCTAATATAATGAATTTGGTATTGACTATGTATTTAGCTAGAATGAGCTATAGTACAACGAGTTTAATCTAATATATAAAAAGGACAAGACTCTCATTGAATTGCACAAGGTTATATAAGTTGTTTACAAGAATAGAGTATAATGATTAATTGACAAAATAAAATATGCAAGTTAAAGGGACAAAATATAAAAAAAAGTAGGAAAAAAATATATGAGGTAGTTGGTACTAGTTAGCAAAAGATGTTAAGGGCCTTGAACAATAATTAATTGAAAATTTCTCTTAATTGCCAACAACATAGTCATAAAATATGAAAAAATCTTAGAGTAGGACTTATAATAAAATTTATAATATAAAAATACAAATTAAAATGGTACTTGCAATGCACTAGGTCTGGTATAGGGTTGACAAGAATCAAGAGTATAACTAGATTTAAATTGACAAAATAAAATTCCAAAATTTAAGACCAAAAGAAAATAAGTAAAAAAATAACAATGGCAATGACTGGTTATAAATGAAGTTTAAAATGGTAGAAGGAATACACAGGTAAAAGGTAATTAAAGGTTGGAGTTTAATATACAAGGGGGGGTAAGGGTGTTAGTGTGAAGGGGAAGGTAGAGGTGTAGGATGAGGGAGAAGGGTAGAGGTGTAGTGATGATGGGGAAAAGGTGGAGGGGTGTAGTGAAAGAGGGGGAAGGTAGAGGGTGTAATGAAGGGGGAAGGGTAGAGGGTGTAGTTTAAAGAGGGGGAAGGGTATGGGTGTAGTGATGAGGGGGAAGGGGTTTGGGGGGTGTGGTGATGAGGGGGAAGGGTAGAGGGTGTAGTGATGAGTGGGAAAGGTGGAGGGTGTAGTGTTGAGGGGGGAAGGGGAGAGGGTGTAATGATGAGGGGGGGAAGGGGGGAGGGTGTAGTGATGAGGTGGAAAGGTAGAGGGTGTAGTGATGAGGGGGAAAGGCAGAGGGTGTAGTGATGAGGGGGAAAGGCAGAGGGTGTGTAGTGATGGGGGGAAAGGCAGAGGGTGTAGTGTGAGGGGGAAGGGTAGAGGGTGTAATGATGAGGGGGAAGGGTAGAGGGGTGTACTGATGAGTGGGGAAAGGGTAGAGGGTGTCTGTGAATGGGAAGGGTAGATATGAGTGATGAGGGGGAAGGGAGGGGAGTAAGATTGGGGGGAAAGGTAGAGGTTGTAGTGATAAAGAGGAACTGTGTGGGATAGTGTAGGAAAGTAAGGGTGGGTCTTGAGATGGGCAGTGGAGAGTAGCAGTGTGCAGGGTTAGGAGGAATTCCTTGGGGGTTAGTGTTCCCCTGCCTACCTCTCTTCTTTTTTTAATGCTTTCTTAACTGTTCCTTTCATTGTCCTGTCCTGATCACTACATCGGTAGAATATATGTTTTGTGCGGCATGTACGTCATGCATGTGAGTGTGTTTGTGTGTGTGCACAAATGCATTTTAGTGTGTTGAACTTTAATACAAGTACAGTAGTTGTGGAAAAACCCAATTTTTCTATGCGAGTGTAATGACATTAGTGGGGGATGAAGGCAGGGTGAGAGAGAGTGGCATGCTAGCCACTATACTGTTAGAGGCTTGTGAGGTATTATTGCATTGCCACACCTTGCTTTTAAGGCTAATTAGTTGCAAGTCATTAAGCTAGAATCTAGTCTGAGATTGTAGTTTAGACAGTGACGTTAGGCAAAGAATGTAGGTGTAAGTAGCTTGAGTACCAACATTCTTGTATCTGTAGGCTTACAACTTAACATAGGTGCTAAGGGCCATTTTTAAGGTTCAACAGCCAGCAGTCACTAAAGGTTAGCTGAATGGGTCAGTGAGAAAGAGAAATGAGCTATAATTCCAGCATTAATTCATGACTCTAAGCTCTGGTGCAAATAGCAGTGATTCATTAATCAATCTCAGGGAGGGATAGATTCCAGGAAGACTGAGATAAGGAATAACTCTTTCCCATTTGCAGTTGATCCCAAGGTAAGCCGTTATTGTACCTCAGGTGTTAGGATTTGTGCAAATCTGTATTAAATGGGTATTTTTATTGGCTTATAATCTGAGTTAGGCAGCACAGTTGGAGTTTTCTAGACCTCACCCAGAGAATTCAACCAGTAGCACCCTGGTAAGTAACAGCCCTGTTGAAAGAGGAAAGTCCATGATAACTCAGTATGAGATGGCTGGTATTTAGTGTGGATTTGATCGATGAACTGGTTAATTATAGTGTCAGTCAGGTAGAGTATTCCTCTATATGACAGTAGTGTACGTTTTCCCTCTGATAGTATCTTGGTGATATTGAAGTTCCTAGGATGACTTGACACCTTTTTGATTTGCACGGTTACTATGAGAGACATTGTTAATCTGGTATGTAGTGATAATTAATGAAGATGTTGACAGATCTACATTTCATAAAATGGTCTTTGAATGTTTGGAAATGTTAATAATTTCTGAAATTTCCAGAACGCAGAGATGTCTTTCAACTTTGGTGCAACGGAGTTCAAATTCCCACCTAAGTCAGGATACATAGCAGTGTGTCAGGCCAACAAGGAATGCATTGTAAGCTCAGGTGTTAAGGGAGGTGGAGATAAACCACAAAAGGTTCAGAACAATGCTCCACAAGCTGTAATAATTGAGGTAAGAGCTACCACACATGATACAGTATGCACTTTTATCTAATTTGTGTAGTACTAATGCAAGGTTTAGTTTTATTTTTTACAAAACCCCACTGATTGTCTTCCACTGAAGTAGGGTGACCCCAGAAAAAAAAGCAACTATTTGTCATTAATTATTTAGTAGCTGTCTTGCCAGAAGTATGCAGACATAACAATTCAAATGGCCCTCCAAAATTTTTATCTTGCTCACAACAGCTAAAGATCTGATGGAACACCTGCTGGATGCTTGTGCCTCTACCACATAAAACCTCTTGTACCCCTCTCTGTGACCCTTCTTCTTCCACACAGACTTGCATATCTAAATCCCCAAATCACCTTAATAATTGCTCCTCTTAAATCTGAATTATTCATTGTGTAATCCAACATTGTCTTCTAAGTCCTACATGCTGAAATTAGAGTGGTTGATACTTTTGTTCAATAACTATATGAAAGAGGGGAATGTTAAAATTATAGGGGAATAAGTTTACTGAGTATACCAGGTAAAGTGTATGGTAGGGTTATTATTGAAAGAATTAGATGTGAGACATAGAGCAGGATCAGAGTTAAACAAGGAGGCTTTAGAATGTGTAGGGGATGTGTAGATCAAGTGTTTACATTGAAGTATGTAAGTGAACAATATTTAGTTAAAGGTAGGAAAGTTTTTGTTGCATTTATGGATTTAAAAAAAACATATGATAGGGTGGATAGGGGAGCAGTGTGGCAGATGTTGCAAGTGTATGGAATAGGTAGTAAGTTACTAAATGATGATTTGAACAATTACAGACCCTTATCAAAAATAATACACAAGCGACTTTACTCCTACCTTACTTCCAACAACATACTTAACCCATGCCAGTTTGGGTTTAGACCAAAAAATAGTGCGAATGATGCTATTATACAAATGCTTGACCTAATATACACAGCTCTCGATAAAAATGAATATCCTCTGGGGCTCTTTATCGACCTATGAAAAGCATTTGACACAGTTGACCAATCTCTTGCACCTCAAATTGAATTATTACGGCATAAGCGGACATTCTCTTGACTACCTAAAATCCTATCTTAACGACAGACACCAGTATGTACATGCAAATGGAGTCAACTCCGCTATCCAACCTGTAGCTGTAGGAGTACCCCAGGGTAGTGTCCTAGGCCCACTCCTCATCTACATTAATGATCTCCCCAGTGCATCCCAACTCCTTAAACCAGGTCTATTCGCAGATGACACTACATATGTCTACTCCCATTCAGACCAAGCTGTGCTTGGAAACACTGTAAACAATGAACTGCTGAAGATATATTCTTGGATGACGACCAACAAACTCGCTCTCAACATTGACAAAACATAATTCATGCTGTTTGGCAATAGAGCCTCAAATATTCAATTTAGCATACTGTTCAATGGTTCCGCTATATCAAGACACACAGTGGGCAAATTTCTAGGTCTTCTCCTTGACTATAATCTTAATCCTTTGACTGTTGCAAGCCCCTTTCTGAAACTGGCATTCTATGTCGCAAAATTTTTGGAAAAAAAAAAACAAAAAAAATTCTTATGAAATGATAGAGAATCTTTTCCTGATGGTAATGACACCAAAAGTACGAAATTTGGTCGAAAACTCGTGGAATTACACTCCCACGAAGTTAGCAGTCTCGGTGACACATACGCATCGGCGATTTCGCTGATTTTGAGCCCTGTTTTTGGCCAGTTCTGTTGTTCCAGTTGACCAAACTCATAGCTATTTCTTTAGAACTCCATTTTTTCTATCAGTTGAGTACAAGAAACTGCCCATTTACCGATTTGAATTACCCAATAAAGTGGTCAGAAATTGGCAGTTTGGCCAATTTCACGCAAATTAAAAAAGATGCCAATTTCAAAATAGGGTCCAGAATAAACAATGTAGACATTCTTGGCACTAAAATAACATATCCTCTGTTCATTAGTCATGTCTCTAGGCCCCCTCTTATATTACTATTGCTTTCTATTTTGATTTTTTATTCATACAAAAAATACAAAATCTACTGTTATGGAGACTATTGCATTATTGTAAAAATGGTATAAGTAATATCAGTGCATTAGTGAAAGAATATTAGTCTCCCCAGTTGACATGTATTAAACGTGTGGTGTGATTTGCTTACTCCTGAACATTGGTAAAAATCGAACAGTTCCGCTACTTTGAGCTCAATTTCAAGGTCATTTTCATTGTGAAACTAATCAAAATCATCTCTATTTCTGAAAATGAGAATACAACGATAAATACTATACGAAAATACACCTCAAAGCCGGATTTTAATCCAAAAAAACAGTCAGTTTTTTTTTTTTCTCATTATGCACTGTGTGCTGCAGGATTTTTTTTTATGTGGTCCACACTGACCACACAGACCCATTCTTTCACATGTGGGCTTACACGTATTAATACGTCTGAAACAGTGGCGCTTAAGACATATATATACGACCAAAACAGTCAAAGGGTTAAATTTCAGTCCCATACCCATGACAGAGACAAGAAAATTTCCAAATCATTAGGAATCCTCTCCAAGATACGATATCATGTACCACAAACGACTCTCTTTACCCTGTACCACTCTCTAATGTATCCTTACCTCACCTATGGCATTTGTGCCTGGGGCTCTACCATTGCCAACCACCTTAATAATCCAACAAAAAACTGCTGTGTGGGTGATAACCAGCTCCTGTGCTAGACAGCACTCCCCACCACTTTTCAAAAGACTCAACTTGCTAAATATACAAGACACACTCTTATTATTGTGCCTACTACATTTTTTTTTTTTTTCCAACAAGTCGGCCGTCTCCCACCGAGGCAGGGTGACCCAAAAAAGAAAGAAAATCCCCAAAAAGAAAATACTTTCATCATCATTCAACACTTTCACCACACTCGCACATTATCACTGTTTTTGCAGAGGTGCTCAGAATACAACAGTTTAGAAGCATACACATATAAAGATTCACAACATATCCCTCCAAACTGCCAATATCCCAAACCCCTCCTTTAAAGTGCAGGCATTGTACTTCCCATTTCCAGGACTCAAGTCCGACTATATGAAAAAAACCGGTTTCCCTGAATCCCTTCACTAAATATTACCCTGCTCACACTCCAACAGATCGTCAGGTCCCAAGTACCATTCGTCTCCATTCACTCCTATCTAACACGCTCACACACTCTTGCTGGAAGTCCAAGCCCCTTGCCCACAAAACCTCCTTTACCCCCTCTCTCCAACCCTTTCGAGGACGACCCCTACCCCGCCTTCCTTCCCCTATAGATTTATATGCTTTCCATGTCATTCTACTTTGATCAATTCTCTCTAAATGACCAAACCACCTCAACAACCCCTCTTCTGCCCTCTGACTAATACTTTTATTAACTCCACACCTTTTCCTAATTTCCACACTCCGAATTTTCTGCATAATATTTACACCACACATTGCCCTTAAACAGGACATCTCCACTGCCTCCAACCGTCTCCTCGCTGCTGCATTTACCACCCAAGCTTCACACCCATATAAGAGTGTTGGTACTACTATACTTTCATACATTCCCTTCTTTGCCTCCATAGATAACGTTTTTTGACTCCACATATACCTCAACGCACCACTCACCTTTTTTCCCTCATCAATTCTATGATTAACCTCATCCTTCATAAATCCATCCGCCAACACATCAACTCCCAAGTATCTGAAAACATTCACTTCTTCCATACTCCTCCTCCCCAATTTGATATCCAATTTTTTTTATCTAAATCATTTGACACCCTCATCACCTTACTCTTTTCTATGTTCACTTTCAACTTTCTACCTTTACACACATTCCCAAACTCATCCACTAACCTTCGCAATTTTTCTTTAAAATCTCCCATAAGCATAGTATCATCAGCAAAAAGTAACTGTGTCAATTCCCATTTTGAATTTGATTCCCCAAAATTTAATCCCACCCCTCTCCCAAACACCCTAGGATTTACTTCCTTTACAACCCCATCTATAAATATATTAAACAACCATGGTGACATTACACATCCCTGTCTAAGACCTACTTTTACCGGGAAGTAGTCTCCCTCTCTTCTACACACCCTAACCTGAGCCTCACTATCCTCATAAAAACTCTTTACAGCATTTAATAACTTACCACCTATTCCATATACTTGCAACATCTGCCACATTGCTCCTCTATCCACTCTATCATATGCCTTTTCTAAATCCATAAATGCAATAAAAACTCCCCTACCTTTATCTAAATACTGTTCACATATATGCTTCAATGTAAACACTTGATCTACACATCCCCTACCCACTCTGAAACCTCCTTGCTCATCCGCAATCCTACATTCTGTCTTACCTCTAATTCTTTCAATTATAACCCTACCGTACACTTTTCCTGGTATACTCAGTAAACTTATTCCTCTATAATTTTTAGTCTCTTTTTGTCCCCTTTCCCTTTATATAAAGGGACTATACATGCTCTCTGCCAATCCCTAGGTACCTTCCCCTCTTTCATACATTTATTAAACAAAAGTACCAACCACTCCAACACTATATCTTCCCCTGCTTTTAACATTTCTGTCATGATCCCATCAGTTCCAGCTGCTTTACCCCCTTTCATTCTACGTAATGCCTCACGTACCTCCCCCACACTTACATTCTGCTCTTCTTGTCTCCTAAAAGATGGTATACCTCCCTGACCAGTACATGAAATTACTGCCTCTGTTTCTTCCTTAACATTTAAAAGTTCCTCAAAATATATACTACATATACAGAACTTTAAACTCAACTGTAAACCCTCGCTTAAAACTACTACTCGACAGTTACGACAGAATGAACAGACACAATACAAGCCATAAGGCACTTTTCTACATCACTCAAGTCAGACTCTCACTATGCAAGAACGCTATGCACATAAAAGGCCCGAAGATCTGGAACTCGCTTCGGGAACAGGTCAAGGATCCCCTGACAGCTTATAAATTTAGGACTTT